GGGGGGAGGGGGTGATTTTTTCTTTTGACACATTTGTTTTACACATTGTCGTGTCGCGTTTGCGCTCATTCAATACGCACGCCCGCACCGACCCCACCCGACATGTTTATGTCTGCAGAGTGATCAAGGCATACGGCGGCGGTGCATATAACGTCTAAATCAAGGGGCAAACCTCGCGAAACCATCGAGCAGGAAACACGCAAAAAACAACAACGACGTTTTATGATATTCCGTACACATATGAAGGTGATAGGGGATGTAGTATGTGGGGAGGGGGAGTGGAGGGGTCACCACCGAGCAGCGCGCAACATGCCCCGACAATAGCGCGCTATTGTGGCTGTGGCTGCCACCCTGCGGGCCTGCTAAGCGAGCTACCACGACATTTCAATACAGATTACATTCGCCTGCCTCGTCCAGCCTCGCAGCCCCCAATAGAGGACAGGTCCGACCTGCTTCCCTACCGTGACTCTCCCCCCGACCTCTCTCCCTGTCTCTCCAGCCTTTAGCAGCCCTCCGCGGAGGACAGGTCCGACCTGGTGCCCCACTGCGACTCTCCCGACTCTCCTCTCTGTCTCTATTTCTCTCACTTGCCCGCTTGCTCTTATCACTCTCCCCCTTTCCTTGGCCGGAGCCCCCCGCATCTGGTTAAGAAAAGACAAAAAATAAATAAAAAGGCGGCTAGCGGCTAGCTCTCTTGCAAAGCAGCACCAGCAGCACCAAGCAGCGCTGAATGGCGTGAAAATAGGAGCCGGCCGAGGAGCCTCGTTGGTATTCACCACGCCAGGCCAGCCGGCCGCAGCGCGCACCCCCGGACGCGACGGGGGAAGGGAGGGGAAGGGGACACAGAAGTGGCAAACCGTGTCCCTGGGGGGTGGCAGCAGCCGTAGCGCGGCGCCCAGAGCTGCCCCCGAGGGAGGGAGAGTCGACCAGCCGAATCAAGTAGCTACCCGGGGGCCGGCAGAGGGCTCAAAGCAAACCTCATTCGCCGACAAAGAACTCGACGAAAAACAAAATCGAAATGCAATTTGTTTGTCCGTCCAGTAAATTGATGAGAAACTACTATTTTTGTGGGGTTTGAGAGGTGTTTACAATCCATCACAATCAGATATGTGAAGAGTTCACTCTGAAGTGCATTTTCACCTGCATTTTTACGCACCGGGCTGAGTCCGGGACCCTTGTCCGTCACAGGAACCCCGTCCTTTTCCAAGAGGCAGGCCGCCGTCGTCCTCCCTCGCGTGACCCACATTCAATCGGCCGCGGGAGTCCAGCACGGCCTGGACGGCGGCGTCGGCCTCCGCGGCCCCGGGGCGCCCCCTGGTCGCTCCTGGACGCGGCGCACGCGCGCTGGCCCGGACCGGACGTTGCGCAACCCCCCGGGCGGGATTCTCCCTCTCTCCCCCTTCACCCCCGTCCTGTTCCTCGCATCGCGTCCCCCTCTCCATCTGCTCCCGCTTCTCTTCTCTTCCCTCCTCCTCTTCCTCCTCCTCCTCCTCATCGACACGGTAATTTTCTCTGAATCTGTGGGCTGCGCAGCTCGGGGAACACCCTGTAGCGCCCGCCACCTCCTCCTCCTCCTCGGCGAGTTGTAGCCCGGAATGGATCATTATTTTAAAGTGGCTGGGAATAATAATATCCTAAATAAAGCAATTACGCGGCCGTCCCGTCCGTCCTGGATCAGGTGCGTGCGCAGGCGCAGCGTGCGTGCGCGACAGGCAGGTTGGCACGGCAGGGCGGCCCGGCTGGAGCCTCCAGGAATGCAACCTGGAGCCTGCGGAGGACGCTGCGGCTCGGACCGCGCGGGGACCGTCCCGTCCGCCCGCGTGCGTGCCGTCGGCGCGCGTCCGCGGGGTCCAAAGTCACATGAGACGCTCACCTCATCCGTCCGCTGCGTCCGACCGTGCCCACACTCCAGCCAAGCTATTTAATTAAGATGTTTTCCAGAGCCTATGGGCCGCTCCCGGCTGGCGATTCCCGTCGGCACGGCTGTTACAGCCGGCCGGCCGGCCGACCGACCCGTCCGTCCCGATTCCCGAAATTAGTCCTTTCAATCAAAACGCGAGATGGGCCGCTGTGGGGCGGAGCCGGCCCGGGCCTTTCAATCACTCAATCAGGGCGGCGATAATAATTAATAATAACATTTCTTGGGAAAAAATCAATCCCACGGCGAGCTCTGATTAAATTCGGAACGCATGAGCAGCGGCCGGAGTCCGGACACGCCGGTCCAGTGTGAGAGGAGGAAGGGGGCGGTACAGAATGTTTATCGGAAAAAGGAAAAGGAAAAAAAAAGAATGCAAAATAATAACGAGAATGGCGGGGTGGCGGGGTATGATCAGAGGCACGAACGGCCGTGTGTTTGGCTTAGGAGTTAGAAGCAGGGTGATCGCGATTAGTATGGGATAACAAAAAAAAAGGCACACTTTTCAAAAACATGAAAAAAATTAATTTCTTTACCCCAAAAAGAAGAAATTATTCTGTGAACGCAGTGACGTTATAATGCTCTACAACTCAAACCCAACAAAACTTTAAAAAGAAAACAGAACCACAATGAAAGCGCCTTCTGACCTGACACCGCGTGCCACCCCTTCACAGCGATTCTACAAGCGCCCCCGAGGGGTGCCCAACTCAGGTAATCAGGTGTACACAGAGTAGGTAATCCCTGGTAATCACCGGTAATCTTTGGTAATCACCGGTAATCCCTAGTAATCGCCGGTAATCCTTGGTAATCACCGGTAATCCCTAGTAATCGCCGGTAATCCTTGGTAATCACCGGTAATCCCTAGTAATCGCCTGTAATCCCTGGTAATCACTAGGTAATCGTTGGTAATCACCAGGTAATCGTTGGTAATCATCGGGTAATCTTTGGTAATCACTAAGTAATCCAGCCAGGACTGGTAATCTTTGGGAGTCACTGGTAATCTGTGGTAATCAATGGCAATCTTTGGTAATCTCTGGTAATCTTTTGTCAGTGGTAATCTTCGGAAACCCTTGGTAATCATAGGTAATCTTCGGTAATCTTTGGTAATCCTTGGTAATCTTCACGTTTTGGTAATCAGGTGTACACGATTTTTTAGAGTTGGGCACCCCTCGAGCGCCCCCTTTATCACATCAGCTCCAACTCTTTTCTGCAGCGGGAAATGCAAACATTTCCATACGTGTGTATTAATTAAAGCGGGCCGTCACGTGGCGTCGCTACTTGTTAATGAGTCTCGTGAGTGGGCGTGGCCACGGCGCGGACCCAGACGAACTACTTCCACAGGTGAGGCGCGGCCGGCGCGGCGCGCTGCGGCGGTGGGGCTAATAGAGCGCGCCTCCACCAGCATGGCGGCGTGTCGCCAACGGGGTGGGGGTGGTGTGGTGTCCGCGCGGGTACTCTTCGACAATTAAAAGTCAAAAGCAGATAGAATTTAGTCAAAACAACAAAAAATTTCAAAAATTAAATTTTTATAAATTAAAAAAATTTAAACTTAACAATTTTTAAAACTGAAAAAAAGATTTTTAGTCTTCTTTATTTTATGTTTTGAAATTGATCGGAACGTGATTATTTCAAAACAATCCTGCTTCAGTTAAGTTTTCGAATTTGCCACCTGCCACATCCGTAATAATTGAAGTTTACAAGTTGATGCATCACAACTTACACTGCAGGGCGGCAACCGGACCACTGCGTGATGGGGCGTCGCAAGAGCCAGCGGGCGCAAACTACATGCAGAGGGGCGCGCCCGGCGCGCCCCACTCACCCGTGCTGAGCTCTTTCGCGAGTCTTTTCCACATTCTTATTCCCCTTCCTCTTCTCCCTGATTTATCGCAGCGCGTTGCACAAAAGGAACGGCGTGTTTCAATTATACAGGTACAGACCCCGACCGCAAACCTTGCACACTCCCCCCCCCCTCTCTCTCTCTCTCTCTCTCTCTCTCTCTCTCTCTCACACACACACACACACACACACACACACACACATACAGTCCCGATCTCTAGTGCTCTGCTGTGGGATTCCGATGATGATTCCCAAAGCTGCAATATTATAAAGAATCCGGTGATTTTCACCCCAAGTGAACAGCTAAAAACCCTGCCGAGCACTACAGCGGAAAGTTTTGTCAAACACGCTGAGAGCAGAAGCTTTTCCAATCGATAATGGAAAAAAAAAACGTTAACGCTAACGCTAACGTGAAAGCAGATGATTTCTGGCGATTGGCGTTGAGCTTTTACTCTCAACTCTGGGCATGGCGGGGCGCGGCGGGGCGCGGGGGCGGCCGGGGGCCGCGGGGG